TGCATGTAAAATGCATGTCTCGCAAAAACATACGTGTCACACATATAGATTTATTATTATGTGTAACACATTTAAAACGGGTGGCCCGATTAGAAACCCCCAAAAACTAAAGGCATAATTATGACATGCCAAAAAAAATCTGGCACTTGGGCTAATTTGTATCCACATATTATAGTAAAATATATTTGGAGTAAACCTAACATTTGATTTTCCCCTTGACAATAGCTGTGGACCGATTCAAGTTTTTCCTCCCAATTTTTGTTCCATTTTACCTAATAAAACTGTCCACATCAAGATAAAGAGAAATGCTACCGTCCCGTTGCGGAACCATTCCGTCGGAGTTCGTAACCGATCAACTATCCCTGACGGTTACATGATGATCTAACGGTTACAAGTTCCGCCGGAATGAATCCGTAACGGGACCGTAGTATTTCCCCAAGATAGTACAGTTGAAACGGACCTGTTTTCTAGTTAGAAAAAACTCAGATCAAATAGGAACCACAAACAGCACAACATTAGATATCATCAGTCCAATATGAAACACAATATGCATGAATATACTTGAGAAAAAAGAAAGAATGAAAGGGGAAAAAAATTCATACAAAATTAGCCTGCCCCAGATATATCATATATGCACAAACAACTTACAACAAGAGGGGTATGCTACAAACACCGGCAGGCGACAAAGGGAGATGCAATACGAAACTCAGAAACTCGAAACACGATTCCATCTGTAAACCTGTAACCTGAGCAAAAGAATTAAAAAATATATGTATAAAGAAACAATCACTTCACTTCATTATTATTGGACCTATACATGATTGAAATATGCTGCTAAGAACTCTCTGCACTTCCAGTGAACTATGCTCGCTCCGAACGAGATCTGTTAACAATGGAAATAACTGCGAAATATACTTCCTGAAAGAAGCACTTTCGAGACAGCTCAAAATTCTCATGACTGATAGAACTAAAGGTGTACGGGCCGCGAGCTCCTCCTTCTTAGCCGACCCTAACGGAAGAAAAAAGTGTACCAACGGTTTGTTCTTGGATTTCTGTGAGACACGTCCAAACTCGCTACATTCGAGGTATGTCTCTAGTACTTGTTTGCATACGGAGATAAGTTCCAATTCAATGTTCTTCTCCCTTGATAGAGATGGACTGTTTGTGAGTAAGTCGTGCAAAATATTTAAGTAGTTCATGTAAGACTCGTTCTCAAAGTAAACGAGGGGTGGATCCGAGATTTCTAAGATAGTGCATGCTTTGTCTAGCTTGAGCAGTAATATAGTTTGGGAGTTCAATTCATGGGCATGAGATGAAATTGATGAGAGAATCTCGAGAAGGATAGTGATAATGTTTGACGAAAAGCACTGCCAGTGCCTCTTGTAGAGATCAGTTGTAACCTGTGAGTAATGAGAAAAAAGAATCAGTGTGACACTAACTAAGCTAGTTTCAAATATAACTTAGATAAATTATGCGGAAAACGTGCAGAAATGGATGGAAGTAAATAAATATATAAAAACTGTTAGATTTATCAAATACGGATCTGAAATATGCAAAACTATACATGGCGAAAATTGAGGAACAAGCCATGGGGTTTAAGTATTCTGCATTAATTAAAAATATGATTCGAAAGTGAAAAGAAGCACGTGAACAATACTGCGAAGTAACTAGTAAGTCCTTATGGCTCTAAATTTCTTCAAGAATGAACGAGAAAAAAAGGGTTGATGGCAAATTCATATCTATGAAGTCCATCAAGAAGTTGAAGGAGATAAGTATACCTGTATTATAAGCAGCTGCAGAGATATATGGAATTTCATCCTCGACACTATATATGCCACACTTTGCAGCTTTTCATCCTCGGTACCATCACCAATTGCACCTCCATTGTCATAAGAAGATTCAGTTTCATAATTGAGTGGATTATAATCGGGCACCTCAATGCTGTCTAAAGTTTTCAAAAGCTTCATAAAAGCTGGCAATCTACGCACAGCGGCCTCTTCCAAAGAATGAAAGATATCCTGCCATTCCTCTTCAGTAAGTTTGCTTCTCAAGTCAGCAGTCAAATGCATCAAAGCAGCCACTCCCGCCGTTGAGGGACTTTGACTGGGGCTTCTCACGAATCTCATTATTATAGATATCAATTCATGAAATTGGGGCCTCAACAAATCAAATAGATGGACAAATAGATCTGTGAGGCATTCTATTGCCACTACACTAGTTTCAGAGTCCCAAATGCTCCCATCGGGTGGGTTTATGGATTCAGAATTTGGTGAATGGTTATCATTGCCCATATCGGACTCTTTACCATCAAAGATGAAGGTAAATATTGGAAAGATGGCACCTTTGAAAACAGTGTCCCAGAATGGCTGCGAGAAAAGGTGGCCGTGGTCCTTCAAAATATTGAAGAGAACTTCCAGCGAACTTTTTCTGATGGCGGCTCTTGGATCTGAAGTCAAACTTGATAACCCTGACCAGATAAAGTTGTATGATATTGTTTAGACGTCTAAGAGTAAGGATGTTGATGGGGAGAAGGCTAACATGGATAAATTTAAACCAAGCAAAATGTGAGAAAGATAAAAAGAAAGAATGATACCCCCTTCTTGCCACGAAGATATGCAAAAATACATTTCAGGTGTCCCAATTTGCATGATTGTACAGAATAGTTAAAACTTAAAAGTTCCCATTCTGTCCTTATCCACTTTGCATGATTGTCAATAAACATAAAAGTAAGGGAAGTGTAATAATTGCTAACTTAAAAAGTGGTATCGTAGGAAATATATAACCCTAAATTTCACTTTACCAACAACCTTGGTGATGTTTCATTAAAACCTGCGAAAAAGCAATGAAGTCCACCATCGTGGGACATGAAGAAGTATATACAATTCCTAAGTTCATTTCCACATCAGTCATACTCAATTAAAACCTTTTTACCTGTAAGCAAAGGAATCCAGAAATGCATATGCCCATCTCTGTCCATGCATGTTTCTTCATCCAAAGCATTGTTCTTCGGTGAAAGAGTGCTATCTTCATTCCCCTCGCTTTTCTCATTGCAAGAAAGTCCACCATCTGCGAGTTTGACCGCACAGTACCGGAGAAAAGCAATAGCATTGAGACTAACGTCACTATTGAATTTACTATTTGTGAAGGTAATGAGGCATTTCACACAATAGGTGAAAGTCAATGCCTCTGTCTCAGTTATGTAGGGAAAATATTCACGCACTATCTTTTCAATTGTTTCAAAAGCCAACAAAACTATGCTCTTCCGTTCATCAGCTGCAGCTGCAGTGAAAACCTACAAAAGCAGAAGTATGTGAAAGGCAGAGAACGTATGAGAATGCACCGATATCATATATGCTGAGTTTTAGATACTAATAAGTAATAACTATCTACAAGAGAATTTTGAATTCCTATGTGAACAAAAGATGGACATCGAGTGCTAACAAGCATACTCTTCTGGTAATGACAAATTCAAAGCAAGCCCTTTTTGAGAGTCGCAGGGGACCTTTATAGATCAACATGTAAAAGGAAAAATTACCATGAAGACACTCTTCCATCCAGATTTTATGTTATCAACCCTGCTGAGTACCATCTGTGAGATACATCGAACTATTAACTCTCTGATCTCTGTAGAATTGCTTTTCCGCATCACAATGGTAAAAGGCCTCAAAAATTCATTCTGGAAATTATAGTTCACCAGTTCTTCTCGCTCGAGGAATTTCATAGCAAGCTGCCGCAATGAATCCATAACAAAGATTGCAACAGAAAGGTTCTCGGACAAACCAACTGACACAAAGAATTCAGAAAGAACATTCCATATACGTGACCACACTAGCCTTATGCGATTCATGTTATAGTGCCTGCAGAACAGAAAATTCAAGTGTTTATCTCTCAACAAATCTTGAAAGAAATAATAATAATTAAAATAAAAAAGAGAATTAACTTTAAATTTGGGAAAGGATCTTACGTAACTTCCACGATTTTTGTGAGGCTAAACACACGTGGATCAGTTGGGGACTGCAGTTCTGCCATGGAAACTTTGCAGAGTGATTTTACAAAAGCCACTATTGCCTCACTGTTTAACCTCTGGCTATGAGCAAAAATGTGGTTCAATTCAAAATTCCCAATTTGATCAAGCAAATACAAGTTCGAAATGAAGTTATTGATCTGCTCCGGAGTAACAAGACCAGGGGAGTTGACTCCCACAGAGGTGCTATCATAGGAGCCTCCTCGAACGACTGCCATAACAGCGGGATTTTGGAGTGTTCCTTTTCTCTTCAGAGATGGGTAACTCTCAGTATTCAATACCTTCTCTTCAGATTCAGAATTAGATGTATTAAGGAACGACGCATCAGAAGGTGCTCCCTCCCCCAAGAGTTGCAAATGCTCAAATCGAGATAAGCATGTCAGAATATGCTCCCATGCTTCCTTAAGGTAATTCCCATCTTCAATTGCAATTGATATCATAGCCTGAAAAAACAGAAGAGTTTTTCCCCAATCACTTCCATTGCTGAGGGAATTCAATTTCAAAACAAATTGATGAGCAGCATAAGACTTATAGAAGGAAAAGTTATTAACATTCTATATGTCAAAGTAGAATAAGTAGTGTCTTTCAAGGTGGGGGAAGATGATGTTGTTGCACGAGAGTTTTGCCTTTCGATAAACCGGAAGGAAAAAAATAGTAAGTACCTTGACAGCATCAACATTTTTTTGCTTCATATCAGCCGCACAGTGGAGGTTAGTAAACTTAGCCACAGTAGTAACAAAGGCATCTCTCTGAGTCTGCATACCCATCATGGCGGTAACATGCACAGCATGACGAAATCCCTGCAAACATTGAGAAGTAGCTTCCTTGTCATCGCTTTGGTCCAGCGTTACACTAAAGGCAGCAAGCATTGGGCCCCAGCAGACTTCAACCATGAACCTCAATATAGAAGGATCTGCTACAGCATAGTAGAAAACCCTGCAGGGGGTAGAAGACGAGTTTAAAGCAAATGTAAGAAGTGTTAGAATCCCAGAACACCCAAAACTAAGAAAACAGTCATTACTACACACAAATATTGATACTAAAAGATAGGTCACATGGCTAAAGCAAATGCAAGAAGTGTTAGGATCGTAGAACACCCAAAACCAAGAAAACAATCATTACTACACACAAATATTGATACTTAAAGAATAGATCACATGACACTAACTTCAAGCAACAAACATGTAAAACAACCGGTATACACGTAACTATACATGTATGAATTTTCCTTCCTGGTGAAATGGAGATGGTTTAAAGAATAAATAAATACAAAGAGCACAGTCAAGAAAATATGTGGAAATTGATCATACTCTGATTTTGCAGATTTTGTCTTAAACTGCTCTTGGATATGCCTCAATAGATATCCATTCGCACCCAAAGGTTTTTCTTCTGTAGACTTCCAGACTAGGTTGAGTATTCCATCCAAGCCCAGCAGTTTATTCAGGCTATTTCCATGTTTGCTTTGGGGAGCAGAAGGCTCGGCATTCATTTTAATCTCATTTTTTACAACTTGATCATACAGTGCACCCAAATAATTTCCAGGTAGATCCTTGCCATTATCAATTCCTCGATTATTCCGGATGAAATCAGCCTTACTCATCTGGAATGATCAGACCCAAACTCAGTATAAGCCAGAAAACAGCCCTTGATACAACCAAAACAATTAAAACAAGGATAACGTAATCCAGTACAAAAGACCTAAACAGTTTATAATAAGTTACATTGGTCCATACTACAAACTAACTAAATGTATTAGCCCCAATCAATGTTATTTGCTATTGGTTTCAATGTGGCACAAGATTAGGATATGTGAACACAGTAAGATATGAAGTATGCTCCCACCCTTTCCATTAGCAAGGTAAGAAAACATCTTCAAATTGCAGACTCACGAGTTGGAAAAGGAGTAGCAAAAAGGAGAGTTGATAAAAAATCATCAAATCAAATGCTTCATAGGGGCAATTATTCTGAAAATAGTAAAACAAATTAATCAAGAATGCTTGCATATTATTTTCCCTTTCAGACACAACCAGCATAGAAACAAGAAAAAAATGTTGAAAATTTGATGCAAGGAAAAATGAAACAACAAAAGAACTCAGTTTCGGCTAGAGAAAAAGAACTGAAATGCACCTTATCCTTTACCATACTATTATGTGCATCGGTGTTGAGCATTATGACTGAGTAAGCAAGCACATAAGCTGTGTCAGCACTGGTGAATGCACTCGGATTGCATTTACAGTAGCGTTCGGCAAATTTTTCCATGATGCGGTCGATCTTTTGCGCTTCCCCTGGTAACCTAAATCCTCTCAGAAAGAATCTGATTGCTTCAGCAAAGCTCATTTTCTCAAAGTTAAAGGAATCTACATATGCATGCATAACTTTCATAGGAAATTCCTCTCTTTCACCGAAATAATCGCCAATCATATTTTCATTCAGGCCTGAAGCGCTTTTGAGAAAAGAAGCCACATCTTCTGGGGAATTGCCAACTCTTTTGGCGCTTATTAAGAACTCAATTCCCTTGGAAGGTTTCCTATTGAACAGTGCAACACCTTTCTGCATTTGTTACATTAACATAATCACTATAGTAATATATTACTCAAAGCTATTGTCCAAATGTTGTAAAAGAAAATTACAATATTAGCCACTTAATGCACATAAAAATATTTCTTTTAAACTTAGTACAAAACAAAATTCTCATGGTACAATGGTATTGAGCAACAATTCATAGTGTAAACAAAATCTTGAGACCATTCCTCTTGAAGTGTATTTATTATCAAACCTGAATTTCTACTTTATAAGCTCTACGCTGCTCCAAGGTTGCAGTAACCAAAAGTTCAGAATTTGCTTCCAGGTGCTCATAATCAGAACTATTTGCGTCGTCAACGATGTAAGTGTGATTCTCAGTCAAGTTTTCACTCTCAGAAACTTTTGGAGGATTAGATTCTGAAACTTTTAGCTGCTGGTCCATCCATGAACCCATTGACTGGATAATTCTAGCCAGACATTTCACTGATTCATGGCGAAATGTCATATCTTGGACAGGAGACAAAGAGGTCACTGAACCAGGTGGTGGACCTAGGGCAGTTTTCAGAAGTCCATTCACAGTCCTGCAAACATAAAGGGATTCTAACACTTTACAAACAACGCTAGAAAAACAATTACATAATTTGGGGAACAGAAATGGCTTAACATAGCTATTGTTCACAGTTACAGTTATATTTGAGAAAATGTGCAGTCAGGGATAATAGTTCCCCCTTTGCATGAATTGAATATTTTCCTAGTTACCACCAGATCACTGGAAGAGGTATTTATTGTACAAGTAAAAAGGCTAAGTCACCGGGTCTAAAATAAGTGAACAATAACATCAAATGACATCATACAACATCACAGTTTACAACCAGTTTATGTGCAATGTTTGTCTCAACTGAAAATGACGCCAAGCAAAAAATATCAAGATGCATAAAGGGGAGAAATATCAAGACCTAATTCCTTGTACCTTTCGAATATGTTTGGAGCCTCCACATCGCAGTCATAGTTGACAAAAGTATCAATAGTAAGCTGTGGATCCTGAGCAATCTTTTCCAGTAAATTCAAGACAGTCATCTTCTGTAAGAAACTTGGTTGAAGCACATTCTCTAATACACGTAGAATCAGCATTGGAAAAAAAATTCCAATCTCTGATTTCAACCCAGACCTAAACTTTGATAGTAAGTGCCAAAATATTGAACAAAGAAGCTGAAAAACAGTCATAACAGAGAGAGCACTGTTCTTCAACAACGACAGGCATAGATATTGCTTGACCGCATTAAGAAACCTGTTAATGACAGCTGTATTAGTTGTTCACGAGAAGTACAAGCAAAACAAACTAAAGAAAAATGATCACATCAATGAGTATGATATATCAGAGTTGTCTCATCATCTCAACCCTGGAAAATCCTAAAAACACGAGGTTCACCTCCATACACCTGGTTCTTCGTCATAAGTCATAACATGCATCATATGATTTAAGAAATCATGAAACAAAGCAGAAAATAATGATCCCATTACACCCATTTACAGGAGCAATATTTTACATTAATCTAAACACATGAAACAAATGATAGTTATCCCTCCTATGCTCACTCTTTAGTGATTCATGTCTAAGCTTGGAAATGGTTACTCCAAGACATATTAGTTATTACACTTTAACCTTTCACAACGCATGAACACTACAAATGAATTCAACAGGAGATACAATAAGTGCATAACACTTTTTATGAGTTGGCACTTGCCTCTCATTGGAACGCCAGATCGGACCTGCATTGCCCATGATGACATTCAGAAGCTCCAAGGACAGAATTTTCCCCCTCAAAAGAATCTGATCGTCGGGATTTTCCTGCGAGGAAAATTTCATGGACAATTTGCATAAATTCTTGTAGAGCATAAACCCATCCTCCCTAATCTTACTGTATTCACTCAAATCAGCACCCTCCTCGACAGGTTTCTCGTTTTCTTCATCAGTTTTTTCTTTAGGGGTCGAATCGGAACCAATCCGGAGATGCAAGGGCAACTTCACATAAGGAAGGCTATCCTTGGCCTCCACAATCTCATTGATGAAGTTCTGCGCAAACTGTATGGAGCTTCCTTCATTGAGATTCCTATCAGCAAACTCCAGCAATTCGAACACTGAAACATTTTTAAAGTCCACAAGCATGGAATTCTCCTCGACTCTGGTGAAAACTATAACCATCATCTGCGCTAGAACAGATTTGGCGCAGATCTGATTGGTACCACTGCGGCCACCAAGGTAGACATTGTAACAGGACCTCACCACATAGACGAGGCAGTCCCCCCTTATGTAGATGCAGGGAGATCTGACAGCGGACAACAGGACCTTTAGCACAGCCAGCTCGACTGCCTCGTCCCCGACGGCAGCGCATTTACAGACAGAGTCAATGAGGCGGAAGACAACTGAGGATGAGCTATCCTCAATCTCGCATCCGCGAACGAGGCCGAAGGAGAAGAGCCGGAACGCGCAGTCGAGGGCGGGCTCGACGACCTTGACAGAGCCCGAGTCGAGGGCCATGACTAGGGGCTGGAGCAGGAACTCGGCGTCGGAGGGGACGAGGCCGTAGAGCGGGGCGCAGGAGGTGGGATCGGAGGCGTCGTCGGCTAGCGAGTCGAGCTTGTCGAGAGCGGATTTGCAGGCGGACACGAGGCTGGCGTGCTTCCGCCAGGCCGCGTTCTTGACGATCTTGTCCAGCGAGGGGCCGAGCACCCAGCCGCAGCGGGACGCGCCGCCTAGGGTTTGGGACGACGACATTGGGATGTCAGCGGCGCGTGCCGGCCCCGCCTCGTACACCCCGGAAAACACTCGGTGTTTCAGCGCCGGAGCTCGCTTCGCGACCGGGATGGATCAGGCATAACAATCGAGCAAAATGCTGAGGAGGCCAACAAATGGTACGGAGCTTCGAAAATTGAGGAAATTAGATCGATGAGCATTCAATGTATGTGAGTGCGTACGCGCGCGCGCGCGCGTATGGGTGAGAAGACGGTGCCGACTGACGCAGGCATATAATCCGGGATCGGTTGCGGCAACTCGTCTCTGGATTTCACTGCTCCCTAACTTCAATGGTTAATTTATAACTTACAATAAAAATGTTAGATAAATTTACCAACATGGTAATTGAAATAAAATTTCCTATAAGATTTTTCCAAAAATTAATAAATAAATAAATTTAAAATATAAGTTCGAGCTTTTACCGTTCTACCAAAACAAATTTATTTAAATACAAGACTTATATATTAACTAAACAAACAAGCTATAACATAAATTTATTTAAATACAAGACTATACATTAACTAAACAAGCTATAACATACCTTAATAATGTTTATAGTTGTATAATTATAATACCATATTATTGAATATTAAAAATTATCACAAGTTGTTTTTGTATTTTTCTTTTCTGAATCCCCACAAATTACACTAGCACAACCATCCTTTGGCCAAATCTACTATCATGCTCTGCTCTAAAAACATATAAAAGCTAATTTAAAAAAAAAAAAAAAAGTTAAACTATTTAATATTAGTTCATTTATCTTTCAATTCTTTTTTTTAAATACTACGGTCCCGTTACAAAACCACCTCATTATGAAACCACCTGTCGAGATTTATAACCGTTAGATCAACTATTTATGACGGTTACATGATAATCTAACGGTTACAAACCCGACGGAATAATTCCGTAACGGGACCTATTATTTCCCTTTTTTTTGTTCTTATTAATTTTTTAGAACCTCAACTAGTTCAGTGTTTCCCTTTTCAAATACAAAAAGAGAGAAACTACCACAACATAACGTCAGTAAATATGTAAAGAAAAAGCAATAAATATCTCCACGTAACCCCAAAAAAAAAGCGACTACAAACAAACATTACACTTCACAATGACCACAAAACTTAATAAAATTCCAACTGGAGCCTTCAGCCAACTGACGGTGTAATCTCATCTCATCAAAAACTTTCAGCCCCCATTTGTGTTGATTTTGCAAACGTTGCCCCGTTAAATATGTGTTTTTGCATATATAGCCCGGGCGATATTTTGCCCTCGTTCTCATTAATCATCCTCTTCGGTTTTCTTATTACGAGCCTTTTTTTTGTTCACGTTGGCATCTCTCTTCTAAAGAGCATGGTACGACATATATCCCAAGACCCCCACACCTGACTCACCACATCACTACACCTAGCCATTAAATCAAGAAGCTGTTGTGAAATGTCTCTATTTGGCTCGGAACTCGGCAAATTCACCGGGAGTTTTTCCAACTGACGATGACTAGTAACATTCGAAAAAACCTTGTTGGGCAAATTCTTAGCAGCACTACTACTACTATCCATGGACGAATGTGAAATGTTTTTATTAGACGAGGAACCCACAACAAAACTAGAAAGTTGTTCCTGAGCCTTGTTAGCACTAGCATTAGCATTACTACTATTACTGCCGAACACAAACTTTACACGTGTACCTCTACCATTACCAGTATTACCCTCGTCACCGAAGGCTTTTTTCAAGATTGACTTTGGCTGCTGCACAGACGGCGATCGCTCAGCCACGGTAGCCGGCAACTTGGCCCTGACGGGCGGCAGTTCAGGCTCCACCGGCGGCTCGACTCTAACTTCCTTGACGTGGCATCTGACGTTTGTGCTACCGAACAAGTTTTCGCTAGTCATGGCAAAGTCGAGTGCTTCCTCAGCATCAGCCCGGCATCGGTAGAACAGGCGGCACGTGTAGGTCTTCAAGAAGACACGAGTCGCGTCGAGATCAAGCGGCCCGAAACGAGCGAACTTAGCCCTCAGTTGTGCGCCCGATGGGAGGGCCGAGGCGAAAACTTCATGACGAGCATGGTCGGGATCGACTGGGCTGGCCTTTTCCTCGACTCAACTTGTTTTGGCGGAAAATTTCTAGCGATTGGGGTTATGGGCCTTAGGGGGACCGATTTTGAGTCGTATGTTATTACTTTTTTCTTTCTGATCTTCTCGATGTCTTCCACGTTATCGATTTTCGTCCTTTTGTTGTTGTTTTCGTCGCTCAGGAGCTTTTGTTTCTTTATGGTCACCGGGCGATTGGATGGGAGGTCCCGCTTCTTGCCACCTTTTGTTGGGTCATCAATAGGCCTCGAAGGAGGTCTTCCCACAGGCTTATTGTCACTGGTTTATCAATAGAACGACGCAAAGCAGGTTGATGAGTGGTTAAGAGAGCTTCGATTGTCTCGTTCACAGTCCGTGGCTGTGAAATCAAGCTCTTCCTATACACGAGAGATCGGAATTTCAGGAAGACCGACAGAGTGGATGACGAGCAACCCTTCTCCAATCCACGAATGGGATTGAGGGCAAGAGTACGAAGGTCACGAACTAGAAACCGAAGGTCAATGGCCGATTTCTGTGGGTCCACCAAAGATATGAAAGATACTGCATCTGAAGAAACTTTTTGCACTTTTTCCACTGGTCCTCTACTGTCACTGTTAGCAAGAGGTATCCGCACAACATTGGAACTTCCTTCGTGTCGTATTTCTTTAATTTTCTTTACCTTCTCGTTGGCTGGCGTTGCATTGTGTTCGGTGTTGGCTGCTTCGGCCTTACTTTTCTTCTTCTTCTTCTTCTTCGCCTTTACATTTTTGGCACTCGATTCCTCGGCTTGGCGTTTGAGCACTTTGACATTCGGCTGTCCGCCTTCGACCGATTTCTTGGGTCCTCCAAACGGTTTGACACTTTCGCTGACTGATGCCTGGTCACTTGAAGCTTGGTACGTGTGGCTTTCTGTGCCAGACAACATAGGCAGCTCAGATGATTCGATACCATCAGCCGGTAAAAGATGTGGGGAGGGGCCTGATTGGACAGAACTCGTTTTCTTGGTGGTTGGGTGAGCTGGTGCATCCCGTCGAACAAATAGATATTTGTCCTTCTCCAGTTGGTCCTTTGTTTTAGTTGGTTTTATAGGGTGTTTACCCTTGCCAAGTGTTTCAGCAAACACCTGTCGGCCGCTCAAAGGAGCTGGCATAACAGAAAGGTGTGAGAAACATGAGATGCAGACCAGGATAGGAAAACAGTAGACAATATTTAAAAACAATAAAAAAAATTGTGGCATGCACACGAAAGTTGGCATCGAATGATATGTCAACTCAAAATACAAGAGAAACAAATGACAACACCAGAGAGAGAGAGAGAGAGAGAGAGAGAGAGTTGGTTGGAACCTAATAAGAAATTGGAAAACAAAGAGAACCATTAACGTAGATGCTCAACACTTATCTCGCATAATGAGTACAAAATTGCAGCATAGGTGATAACCATCACAAGCAGTTGCATGCTTATGGAAAAAAAAAAGCAAAAAACTTTAAACAAATCCAATCGACAAGAAAACACCCTGTTAGAATGGTATAATAGATAGTCACTGATGATAAACTACCATAACCTTCTAACTGCACTACATTAGGCTCATCGGTAAATAAGAACTAAATCATGAACAAATGCTTTTCAGAAAAATTATCCGCGCCTGCATTCTCCACAAGTAAGCTTTAACATAATATTTCATAATACCATTAATTGGGCCAAGTTTCTTTATCGATACACTCTTGGAGGCTAAATTGACATTCAACTTGATGAGTTAGCCAGCCCTATGATGCTTCCACAGCAAATGGAGTCAGGACCTTTCTCATTTTGACTTTTGAGGCTCAGTTATAAATGCATGTGTAATTGACTAACATGAGCAAATAGTATATATACATGTATCAAGGAAAGACGGAGACAAATTTACACTCAAACTTAATTTCAGTTTGGTCAATACTAATCACAGGACTCATTAAGTTATATAATTGCCAAACGGATCCCAAAATATCATTTTGTGAGACATGAAACTTGGCTTAGGCTGATTACTAAACCTGCTAGTTAAAGTTCTAGAGTTAAAATAAATATTCTAATTTAAAAATATAAAAAAAATACAGTTCCAGTACAGTGCTTCATTGGAGTTGCAGGTCATCAACAGGATCCATAATTCACTGGAGTTTCCAGGTCATCAACATTATCAAACGTCCACCAATCATTCATGCACACCGTGTTCACTAAAACAAACTTTCAAGCCACAGTATAGTCTTTACATTAGATTCATACTAGATTCATAATAATTAGCATGCAACAAATCCTAAAAACCATCATACACAAATGCACAAACTAGGATCTTGTACATTTATCATATGAGCAATAAATTTTATCAAGCCTCCACAGCAACCCATACAGAATGTCAGAAGAAGAGTTATCATCCCTTTTTCCAGGGAAAGTTAATTCAAGGAGTTAGTTCGCAAAGAATCACAAGTACAAAGGGTGCCTAACTAAGACTGTCCAAGACAACAATATAAGAACAACTAACAATTCCATGTCCTACAATAAATAGTGTGCCTAAAATTAGTTGCTTCATTTACCAAAATATATGATTAATAACTGAGTACTTCAACTTGTCTGCAATTCATGGAGCAAGAATAGACCATTAGGCTCGGGGAAGCCATCAAAGAGTCATTGGGTCACACTAGAAAATGAGAACTATTAAAAGAAAGGATCCAGCTTATTTGATGTCAAATATTTCAAATATCCAAAAAACCAATATCAATCTCACACGCAATGATGCCTAAAGTAGGTTTTAAACTTAACAAACAAGGTCCATACGTGTAAATATTATATTGACGGTAAGACTACAAGATAATAGTAATACTTTAGTTTCATTGATTTATCAAAAGAAAACGTTCGTGTCAGCCGGAACAGCAATAGAAATCAGAATAAAAACTAAAGATGGTAAGCGGGAGAATCTCACCATAAAAATGGAAAGCAGAAAATAGCCAAAAACACTAGCATGAAGACTATGGTCAATACTTTTCGTTGTTCTTATATGATACAAAGGAAGTGATCATTCAAATAGTGGTAATTACATAGGAGAAAGTACAAGTGATAAAGATGCATGAAACTATATCTACTTCCAGCTATGAAAACATTAAGGAGGACATCTATATGAAACAGCCACATGGCTTCATATCCAGTGGGAGCGAGCAAATGGTTTGCAAACTCCAGAGGTCCATATATGGACTTAAACAAACTTCAAGGAGTTGGAACATCCAGTTTGATGAAACGATCAAAACGTTTGACTTTCACAAAAATCCGGATGAACCATGTGTTTATAAGAAGGTTAGTGGAAATGCAGTTGCAT